CCCCAAAACCCCAAAACCCCAAAACCCCAAAACCCCAAAACCCCTGATAAAAGTTGTAAAATTGAAAGAAATTTAATATTAAAGGGTACTTATTCCTCTGAAGAATTGTTCTGAATTTCTCTCCTTGATAAATTTAGAAAGTCTACCTGACAAGAATTTGCTCAAGGGGTTGACTCTATTGTAAGAATGTTCTTTGATATCCTTGAGTTAGCATTAAAGTTCACGTTAAAAGTATGATTGAATCCTGGGATATCGAATTTCTCAATAGAACTAAATTCTTCTCGACTAGAGTTTTTGTGCTGTTTAAGAGCATCCTTAATTCTAGCTTCTATCTGTGCCTTTTCTTTTTTCAATTCAGCACTTATTTTGCTTATCTATTAATAAAAAGTTAGTTTATAATTTTCTTACTTTGTTTATTCTAGATCTCCTCCGCAAAATTATGAATTCATAAGTTGTAATGCCTTTGATCCGAAGGTACAAATGAAACATCAAGAGTCCTCCTCAAAAGGATAATGTCAATAAAGATAGTATAAGGCTTATTATTCAAGCTGAGATAGCACATATTCGAATTGCCAGATGAGAACTTCCAAATTGCTCTGCATTGCTCTTGCTTTTGGCTCAAACTACAATAAATGAAGGAACAATTGCTGCTATGTTCATTATTCAATAAGCTACAAGATAGAGAATGAAGTACTTATAGTTGCTAGAGCCAATACAGGTGTTTAACCACCATCAATGATGATCAAAATCTTTAATACATTTATTTCAATCTCTTCAGTGCTTAAACCTCTCAGTTACCTGAGTTTGACAATAGTTGCAGTTCAATGCTTGGTGTCCTTCTTCAATATCACCAGGAACTGAATTTGAAGAATGATATTTGTTGTTCAAAAGACCTGGGTTTATAAGAGAGGTTATCCAACAAAATAGAAGTGTCAGAATCATAAAAATAGCATAAAGAAGGCTGAATATTATTAAAGTGCTGGTTTTGTTTACTGAAGGAAGAATAATTGCTAAAGTCACACCAATTTGTAAACTCATTATTGAAAAAGTAATAGCTTTTCCTTTGTTCCAAGAACAAGCGTTCCCATTTACTTTGCTTGAGTTCTTGCTTATGTCCATTGAGTCAGAACTTTCTTCCATAGATGGCATTTTCAATGATTATATTGATTTTAGGGGTTTTGGGGTTTTGGGGTTTTGGGGTTTTGGGGTTTTGGGG